CAAAATCTTGCCATTTGAGTTTTCAAAAATTGTAGAAGACATGAAAGAAAAGTTCGATAAAGCTTATTTGTAATTGTTCAAATTAATTGTACAATTGTTTGATTCTCACATTCATTGGTTTATTTCAGCGGGCTAAACTAATTCTCCATTTTAGCCCACAAAATGCGCCACAAAGCCCGACAAAGTGATAATAATGTTCATTCTAAGATATTGCTATAGCACATGAATATTTAATGGTTAAAATTTGTTTGCTAGACTATGATAGTGTTCGAAAGATCTAATTAGACGGCAATTATTAACTGATCTAATCCAGTTTACTTGTATGTAACAATACATCTGCTGTGTTGCCATGGAATGTCATGTCATGCCAGACCACGTCACACACTTTCTTAATGAACATCTCCGTGCATTTTCAGGAGGAATACAACAAAGAAGATATAAAATGGCAGCACATTTCATTTGTCGACAATCAGAACGTTCTTGATATTCTGGCACAAAAACCCATGAACATCATAGCCTTGGTGGATGAGGAAAGCAGATTTCCAAAGGTAACTTTTAACTTGCCTTGGTATGTTTTTCCTGCCACTGATGCGTTTTTACCTCACGGACTCTGCCAGTTCTGAATGAAAATAACTCCATATTAACAATAGTTTTTTTGTTCTGTAGGGAACAGATGCCACAATGTTACAGAAATTAAATACACACCACAAACGATCCAAACTCTTCCTTTCCCCGGTCAATTCAACCTCTGCACTCTTTGGTATTCGTCATTTTGCGGGAACTGTGTACTACAGTGCCAAAGGTAAGGAAGGTATAATTGTGACATCTAATTTGCATGATATTTTTGAAAGTTTTTCGGGTTTCACGGGCAACAAAACGTTTGGTTTTCAAGGTAAGGAAAAAGTCAACGAATTTTATATGGGCTGCCAATTTCTTTAAACGTTTGTTTGGGAGAAGATAACGTTCTCTTTCAAGAATTACAATAATCAGAAATGCTCAACAAGACAAGAGTTATCTTATCATGCACAGTTGCGGACAGCAAGAGTCAAAGACAGTCAAAGACAGGAACCCCCTCCCTTCTTGATGGGGACTGTAACTTGGATCATTATTTTGGATTTTAAATTCTTAACCTTGGATGATGCATTTGTAGCTTCTGATTGGTTCTCTAAATCTCGGTTATCAGCCTTTATAATCCATCAAATACTATTTTTTGCTTTCCTGCGGTTGGTCTAAGCGCTTCACGTGCTTCACGTGACTAAATATACCCCAGCTAAAACTGGGCAATATATGAGTGATATTCCTCAATTTTTGTTTATTTCAGAGTTTATTTACACCTGTGTTTGACCTTATATCAAAATAAGCTGGGAAAATGTCGCTAAATCTTAAACTTTTCGGCGGGAAGCGAAACATCCGTCGGAAAGAAGTAGCAGATCTGTTGAGCTTTTTAACGCGGAGATACAGAAAATAATTAACTATTATTCCACGAGCGCGCGTTGGATATGAGTTGGCTATAATGATCTCATATCCAACAAGCGAGAGTGGAACAGCTGTATTATTAAAAGCGCCCCCGAAATATACAAAACTAGACTGAAATAAAAATAAAAACGCCCTCAAAAATCACGCGTACGCTCAATATATTCGGAGAGCGTGTCTACATCAAATGTCTTCATCATCTGGTCAATTGAAGAATTTGATATAACAATTATTCCACTCACACTTGTTGGATACGGCGCTCTCGCTTGTAATTTATCATCTCGTATTCAGCGCGGGCTCTTGGAATAATTGTTAATTATACTTCGAGACCAGGTGCGTGTGGCTGTATTTTCTTATTATTGACTGGCAGGTTTTCTTGACAAGAATCGTGACACGTTCAGTGCTGATCTTGTTGACTTGGTTGGAGGAAGCAAGTCTGCATTCTTACTTGAACTGTTTTCCAGAGAGAGAGCCATGGTTTGTACTCCTTAAATAAGATCTTTTCGTATAATTGTAAAGGCAGATGACTTGACAATGAGGTTATACTGTAAATATGTTTTGTTTAGGGTGAAGATACAAGAAAACGTTCACCAACTCTTGGAGCTCAGTTTAAGAAGTCTCTTGATTTACTCATGAGAACCTTATCAGCTTGCCATCCTTTCTTCGTTCGTTGCATCAAACCCAACGACTACAAGAAACCAATGGTAAGTCATTTACGTGTCACGTGACTAGGTTTGTTAGCAGAGCTAGGACAGCATAGGTTGCGAAGCTTGAAAACATGTAGCGTGAATTGATACTGTTCCCTGTGTTTTTTGGTTTTTCTACATCAGTTAGAAAACAGAGAAAACTCTAAGGAAAATGTGCGCGTACTATTGCGTTGTATTAGAAAACTAACACTCAACAAGCGACGGTGCAGCGAACGAGTGAATATTCTGATAAACCTCAAAGGTTGAACTAAAATCGTGCATTTCCTTGGTGTGATTTGTTTATTTTATTGGTACTGAGATCTCTCTCGTGCCAAGATCAATTAAAAACATTGAAAAGTTATGCGGAGTACCAGGCTAAGTGAAGTGAAAGGGAGGCCTGATGTTCAGGTTAAGGGAGAACAAAAAAACGGCGTACAGGCGTTACTGATCAAGACTGAATCTATATCATATAACAAACTCTTGCCATGAGCAGTATATTTCACCATTTCTTCCCGAATTGGAGATTCAAATCTTTACATAACGTCACTTACTTTTATCGTCATTCTTGATGATTTTGGTAAAGTTCATTTAACGTCAATCCAGCCATACAGTACAAGTTGTTTATTACGTGTCGTTTGTTTTCAGAGATTTGATAGACTTCTATGCTGTCGTCAGTTGCGTTATTCCGGTATGATGGAGACAATAAGGTACGTTACTTGTACTTCAACTCTTTCGTTCAATGCTAGCCATACAACGCGATAAAGAGCGGTGCCTGACGCAAAAATGCAGCATTAAAGAGATCGTGTGGTGTCAGGTTTGAGATGTCTTGGTTTTGTTTTTTTCCCGCACAATTATAAACCAATCATAGATAATGCACAGACCCCTGTAGTGCCACGTTATCAGTGTGAATCTGGGACGCTCCCTTCGTTCTTGATGACGGCAAAAAAGCGAGCAAGTGAATAGAGACGTCTGCGCACAAGTACGTTTTACAACGTTTTGCAGTTGTATTTGTTACTCTCTAGCCCGTGTATTTTGCTGGTTTGCAACATATAATCACCAGTGGTCTCTTTGTAGTCGCTGATTGAGCTCGTCTTCGTAGTTTATTCATGTCTGTCGAGTTGTTGTTATGTGTGGCGTGTACAGTGTGATAGGATGATTTTCTTTACTCACAGGATACGGAAAGCCGGCTACCCTATACGTCACACGTTTCAGGAATTCATTGATCGTTATCACATGTTGAGTGAAGGTCTGGCACGAGATGGATTAGATTTCCAGGGACTTAAGAATGCTGCCATCACAATCGCCAAGCGGCTTCTAGGAAACAGTGACTGGCAGATTGGCAAAACGAAGGTGTTTCTTAAGGTGAGGCTCAAATAGATACAACTTGGTTCTGTTTTAAGATGGTGGGAAAAGTGGCGCGGAGAAAAACTAGAAGTAAAGAAATTACGACCTTAAGAGTAGAACAGAAAACCTGCAGAATGTGCAAAGCACAATGTCAGTTGTTCCTCCACTTCACTGATTTCGAGGTGTAACGAGGGTGTGTTGTTATGGACAGGATCAACAGGACATTCAGCTGGAAGATGAGCGAGATAAACTCCTAACCAAACGTGCCATTTTGATTCAGAAAGTTGTGCGCGGCTTTTTAATCCGTCAGCGATACACGAAGATGAAAAGCGGTTCAATTCTCATTCAGAAGACATGGAGAGGATATCAAGAGAAGCAGAAGTATATCAAGGTCAGTTACAACACTCCCTGCAAAGGAGCGCTCATGTTTTCGCGCCCCAATATTTCAGGAAGGGTATGGAATATATGGTAAGAGAATCAGATGTCCTCTGGACTTACTCGCATTCAATCTCCGGGACATTTTGCAATCAAAAAATAAACTTCACGCTTGCTGGCTTCAGCCCTTAATCTAATAAGTGCAACTTTTTTCGATGGACGTTAAACATCTGTTTCTTTGTTATCACTTATCTGTCATCACTGTTCATACCAACTGCATTGCGTCATGTTTACTTCTATCAGGTAACAAACTAAATGCGCAAAATTCCTTGCAGATCCGCAGTGGTCTGGCACGACTTCAGGCCACTTACAGAGCTCATGTTTTAGCTTTAAAATACCTGACATTACGCGAGCGAATGAAAGTTTTCCAGGCATTTTGCCGCGGATTCCTTGCACGACAGGAGTATAAAAACCGCCTGAGAAGCATCATCAAGATACAGTCAGGAATACGAATGGTGCTGGCAAAAAGGAGAACTCAGGAACTGAGAGTAGAGGTGAGTAGCATACAGCAGCAGCTTAGTATATACCACACAAGTCAATGGT